TGTTCCTGTAAATTTAATAAACAATACTTAGTAAAATATATAAATATGAAAGTTACGAATTCAAAGAATAATACCTGCATGGTTCTTTCTTGTAGTACCACTGTTGAATAGAGGCTCGAAAAAACTCCATTAACATAGTATGGGTAATTTCCGGGAAATGACGACTTAGAGCGTTGATTGATTCTGCACTATTAGACGTCATGAAACCATATCTTGCTCCAAGTTGATGTACTCTTGACCATCTTTCAAACCCGACATCTTCTAGTGTTTGAGCACACTGAGGCAAAACACGTCTTAAACAATTTATATGCTTATTGAAATCCACTTCCCGATAAGCTTTTACAGCCTTCCAGTATGTCCATTTGTGCTTTTTTATACCAGCAGACCTTGATTTTAGATTTCTATACAAATGAACACCACAAAGTCCATGAAAAGCATCTGGGAAACACCTTCTAACAGCGTTATCAATTGAGTTTGCCCTATCGGATATGATTGTCAGATTGCTAATAGGACCTATGCAATCCCTAAGATGCCCAATAAACCATGTCCATGAATCAGAGGTTTCAGATTTGCCAACCCCGTAAGCTATTGGCAATATCCCATTGTTAGCATCCATGGCTACTGCTAATAAGTTTACTCCAAGGTATCGACCTTTCAAATGTGCTCCGTCAACTATAATAACTGGGCGCATGCAAGTAATAAACGAACGAATCTACAAAATAATATACACAAGAAATATAATCATTTAAATGTGAAATGCATGTAACTAACAAAAATGAGTCAACAAAATTATATTGATTTACTAACCGTAGCACCAATGGCGATAAACAGCAACTCAAAGCGTCCATCTCTATCTGTTTTGATATGAGTTACCATCCCAGGATTTTTCAGCTTTAAATTGTGACAATAAGCCGGCAGTTGGGCAAACGATGCTTCTGGCGACCCCCTCAACAATTCCAAGGCATAACATTTGGCTCTCCAAGCTTGAGAATATGATATACTAATCTTGAACCGAGCATTCATGTCAGTCATAATTCATGTCCCCGATATACCCTGCCATTCAAAAACATTAACTCAGCCATAAAACCACCCAACACCTTTTTGTTTGCCTGTCTATGGTGAGGAAAAACTTGGGTTCTTGAACATGTATGTTTATCAATAAAAGTCCTAACTTGAAACATTTTGTAATCTTTTATTCTCTTTGCAATCATACGCCACGTACAGTTTTTGTCAATCATACACCTTGTTTCGAAACGATCTTTGCTTGATTTGTTAACTTTTAGTTGATAGCCATCTTCCACACATTTCGTATACAAAGCTATCTTCAAGTCTTCCTTTGTATCAAAACAATCATCTTTCTTGACACGAATAACTTTTGTGTAACAATCAACTGCTTTCTTTGCCAACTCTTCTTCCGGTAACTGAAGTAATTCTGGCATATTCCAGTTATACTCCCGTGGCATTTTCTTTTCTTCGGGGACTTTTTTCTTCTTCTTTTTCTTCTTCAGGATTATATGAATTACAGAATGGATGTTCAACATGTTCATTCACAGTCGTAACTTCCTCCTCATTATCATCAACAACATCTTCCTCGGCAACGGGTGTTTCATCATCAAAATTTGGGTATTGACCAATATTAAAATCATTACACACATGGTCTGTTTCTTCTTCTGAAACATCATCAAAATCCGTGTATTGACCAATATCAAAGTCCGGATATTGACCAAGACCAAATTTCGAATACTGACTAGTACTCACAATTTTTTCTGTTGGCTCATCATCGTCTAACTGGTCAATACGAAAACTGGAATTTGGTGCTGAAAGTTGATTGGGATTTGGATTAGAGAAAGGTTGTGGGTTTTGAGAAAAACTTAGTTGATTACTACCCGCTACTGACCCAACAATACTACTTCTAGGTTCAACAACATACAATGTAACATCATCTTGTGAAACACTAATGTAAGCAATGAATCGTTCAACATCTTCATTGTCGGTTAACAAATAAACTTACCATTTCTCTGATAAGATAGCCTAAATCCACTTAGGGGCTCTAAATTCAATTTATTTGAAACACGTAGCATTAGAGTTTCATAAGTTAACTTTTGTAAAGACAATTTTAGTTGAAGATTCATGGGTAAAGGCATATATTGTAAAACACCATGAACATTATCCCATGACCCTCCAAAACACAAATCTATCCAAACATGATCAACATTAGATGATTTCATGGTTGTAAATTAATTTACTAAACAGACGAGCTGCGAAACTAAAACCTGTTGCCGGATTGGGAAGGATGTCGTTGGATATAGGAACGGATGTCGCCGGAGAGAGTGATAGATGGAGATGGAATGAGTTGCGATTTAGGGATTTAGTTTATGATTTCAGTGTTATATACCCAAAATTTCAGTGTTGTGATTTACAGATTCTCGTTGCGATTTACGGATTATCGTTGCGATTTACAGATTCTCGTTGCGATTTACGGATTATCGTTGCGATTTACAGATTCTCGTTGCGATTTACGGATTATCGTTGCGATTTACGGATACGCGTTGCGATATACGGATACGCATTGCGATTTATGGATACGCGTTGCGATATACGGATACACGTTGCGATTTATGTGTTCGCGTTGCGATTTTCATATTCGCGTTGCGATTTTGGAAAATCGCAATGCGAATCCGTATATCGCATTGCGATTTTCAAGAATCGCGTTGCGATTTTGGAAACTGATTTGCGATTCTGGGGATCGCGTTGCGATTTTTATTTCGCGTTGCGATTTTGTTGGTCATTTTGGCAAATCCAAAAAAAGTTGGTTAAAATCGTATATTATAACTTTTTTTTGGTCACTGAGGCGATTTTCTCTTTAAAATAATTATTACATTATCTCGGGAAATTGATATTTTTTGAAAATTGTGGATTATTGATGAAATTTGATTTAATATGAATTTAGAGTCGTTATCGACCTTTCGGTTAGGTAGGTCGAATACTTAAAAATTTACTTTAAAATAATCATTACGAATTCTTTATTGGAAATGTCAATCCACCTTCTTATGTGATAGATGAACTAAGGGTGACGTTGATCAAACTCCTTTTTTGATGGAATCAAACGAAGTGTTGATGCTGGTCCAATTCCTTATGCAATAAATTAGTAAGTTCGAAAAAATTCTTCATCATTATGAACTCTCACTGAAAAATTCTAGTTCGACCCGATTATCTGATTTTAATACCAAACTTTATCGTTTTATGACTTTTAACACAAATCTCGTACCGAAAATCTGATTCACACAAAAATCCTTATTTTAAGCCAAACTGTTCATTTACAGCTAAAATATATAACTTTTTAAAATACATTTGTAGTTCCTAAACTTTTACAAAGTTTATACTTTAGCCCCCAAACTTTCAATACTTACATTTTAATAACTAGCCAAAATTTGGGGTATTATAATAGGTAAAATAATACACCATGGAAGAAACTTTTCAGTTCACAAAATTTTGATAAATCTATTAATATGTGTGAGGTGAAAGATATTTTACTCATTTGAAGCAAAAAAATCTAAAACAACTTCAGTCTTTCACTTCAAAAGCTTGAGTTTTTTGCGAACATGGTAACTATTTGTGCAAATGTTTTTTATAATTTCAAATCTTTAACCATGTGTTTCAAAGAAAATATTTAAATAGTCGAGTTAAAGTTTAATATACAAACAAGGGTTCAACTCGGAAGTAGTAGAAGAATATATTTGTTATAGTATAGATTTCCACTATCATGCATGAGGTTTCATCTAAGGGATGATGTCGACATTGCTGATATGATTGAGACATATTTCTATCGTTCTTTGTCTAGTGTCGATTTTTTTGTAGAGTTTGTTGATCTCGACCTTGCTCGTACGGTTGAGAATGTTGCTTCCAGCTCGAACATCCCACCAACTTAGACAAATGACGAAGAAACAAGTATGGTTCTAATTTGTTCGTGACCGACAACAAGAAAAAAGCATAGAGAATTGAATAACTTAATATTACTTCTGACGAGTCTATTAATTATGAAGAATAAAACATTATTAAAAATATTACTATGTTTATGATTTTATTTACTGTTTAAGGTGTAAGATTAGTCTTATTTACGTTGTTTTTATCTCCATAATATAATATTTAATGATTTAATTTAATGTTTATAGCTCGTTGCTCTTTTAAACAAAATCTATTACAATATGCTTAAACTTTTCAGTCATATATCATATGACCATTCGAACTCCTCACATTAAAAAGATAAAACAACAACTGAATATGACCATTCAAATCTCATAACCTCATCATTACGATTAATTTTTTAAATATAATATTAAAAAAACCACGAAAAACTAAAAAATATTAATTAAATAATATTATTTTAAAGGAGCTCGTCATCCCGACGTGATGAATTCTTTATAAATTAATTACATAATACACACGGAATATAATAACAATATCTATAGAACGTGTCACCTCGAGGTGACGAGTTCCCCTGTACATTATTACGACTTATTTTTTAAATACAATATTAAAAAAACCACGAAAAAATTGAAAAAAAATAATATTAATTAAATAATATTATTTTAAAGGAACTCGTCATCTCGATGTGATAAGTTCTAACGTTTTATTTAATTTTCAATTTAAGTAAATAAATGAAAAAAATATTATTTTAATAGAACTCGTCTCCTCAAGGTGACAAGTTTCTTATAAATTAATTAAATAATATACACGGAATATAATAATATTATCAACGAAACTCGTTACCTCAAGACGACGAGTTGTCCCGTACTACAAAAAACGTAGCAAAAAGCCGTTACAAGGAACAGAATGATTTTGGGAATGGAAAAGAATATTTAGGTTTCAAGACCAAAAATGGCTACTTTGCTTTGCTTTTAAATAAAACGAAAGAATCTTTTGTTCATCCCCCTTCACGAAGGTCTGTTTATATAAAGAGAAGCAATAAAACACTACTTTCATGCACTCAAAATCTCTTTGATAATTCACCATTTTCATTTTTCTCTTCAATCCAATGAAGAACGAAGAAAACACCGAGCCTTGTTACGATGATTTCCAACCCTATTGCCAGTGGAGAAAGGAAGTCGGAGCTTCCATTATCCAAGAAGTTCGCATTGTTGAAATCCATTTACAAGGTACACAAACCAATATCTTTTCCTTCCTTTATTTCTACTAAAAAGAAGGAATTAGTTTGGGTAACCTACAAAATTTAGTACTTCGATTATCGTTTTTGTTTTGTTATGGTTACCTAACTATTTCTTGTTTCAAGATCATACATAACGTTATGTTTTAGTTTTATTTTGGTCACCCACTGTTAAAAAAATAACGGTGATCATACATCAGCAATTCTATTACTTTTTAATGTCGAGTGACTAAAGTAAAACTAAATATTATGTATGCTTTTGCGGGAAAAAAATAATAATTAAGTAGCAAAAATAGAACAAAAATGATAGTTAAGATACTAAACATGTAGTTTACCCAATTACACGTTTAAATGATTCATGTAAAGCTACATCATTCTTGTTAGGGATGGATCGAAGGGGGCGACTAGTGCAATAGATCTTAAAATTCTTAAATTATCGTATATTTTACGTGTTCTTTTTTATATTTTCTATTGGTAATTTCTTGTTGTCTCTAAAATTTTAGAAGTTGACCCGTAACATAAAAATCATGAATTTGTCCCTATTTTTGTTTTTCAGGATTCAAAGAGGAAGAGTTGAAGAACGAGATGAAATGGGATGGATGTCTATATATCAGTGGAGAACATCCAATGGGGAAGAATAAAATAAAGCGATTAAGCAAAAGGATTGATGTTTCAAAGTATGATATAAAGGGAATTGAAGCCAAGTTTGAAGGTGGAAAACTTATTCTAAGGCTTCCATGTAAAAGCTCAACCTTTAGCCTCCTCACCAATGGGAGGGGTAACGCAATTGGAATTCTACATTTACACGAATTTCTCAAGTCTTCCATGGCCCTTGCTCTTCTCATCATTCTTGGGTTTTATATCTACAAGTATTCTCAATGTACCTATTTCGGAAATTGATTCCAATTCCATGAAAATTGGTTCAAATAAAATCAAATTTTAATTAAAAATTACATTTGAAGTAATGAACATCTAATTTCCTATTCGATTCGTCAACTGTTTATAAGTTATTAAAATATCAAAAACATCTATGGCCCCCTAAATTAACAAATCATTCCACCAACGATTTGTTTTTGTTCATTTATATATATTCTTTTACCTATATATATTTTTTAGCTGACTCTTATTCCCATATGTAATGGGATAAGGGGGAGGTAGGATAATAGGCTGCCCCAACGCCAGGTTGAGAGCAGCTTCCGTGAGAAACCTCCAAATTATGAAATGCCCTCCATGAGACTCGATCCCACGACCTCAAGATTAATAACCTTACGCTCTACCAACGATTTGATGTTATATTGAATGAATCGAAAACAAATAAGATATATTGAATTCATTTATATCAATGCACATAGGGTTAGTATCCAGCTACATAGTGTAAATGTTTTTCATCTTACATCTTTTTAAGATTGTTGGATGAGGAAAATTAAAGGTTGAGATGAATAGTAGTAAATCAGAAGATATTTATTGGAAAAAAATAAGGAATTAATATCAGTATTTGGTTTTCTCTTATCCAACAATCCTAAAAATATGTAAAACTTTTAGTTTTACGCTAGGTATAAGTGGATCATAACCCATGTACATATTTATTTATGTTAATTTAATGCACGTTTATTTTATTATTATTATTATATATTTAATATTATTATCGATTTTGCGTGTATCTTATTTATTTGTAATATAATTATCAACATCTATACCTAATTTTTATATATTTAAAAATGAAATGGTTTAATTTGTAGCTTTCTTATTACTATTCTTAAATAAAATTCAAGTTATTAATGTACATGTTCATTTAATGTACATGAATAAATTTATTTAACAGAAATGAATCAAATTGGGAAAAATATAAATTTAAACAAGGGTTTGTTTGTTTTATAAAAAAAGATTTTCGTTATTAATATTTCCGGTAGAAAAAACAAGATTTTAGACAGCGTCCTCCCAAAAATATTAAAAAAATATTAATATTTCCAGCATCGTTTTTTTTAATCTTATATTAGAATGTATTTCCTTAGACATCCCAATAAACAATATTGCCGTCACTATCAAACTTGCCACAATCTTCGTTGCTGTTTTGCCTTCTATCTTAAGACTTGAAATAGACCATTCGGGGGGAGCCATCTCGTCGGTAACCCCTCCGCTTTGGCGAATGTTTCTCTGTTGATCGAGTTTTCCTTTGTCTTGAACCGGCAGCAACGGAGGCACTGTCTCCGCATGCGAAGGCGCGATTTCCTTCGGCACTGTTATATAAAGATTGGTACAGAACCTTGCACGGATTTCAGTTGGTTTGCAGTCTTTAGGAGTGGCGAATTCCTTGCTGAATCGGATCCATTTACTTCCTTCTGGGGGGCGTTCGCCGGAAACTGTTAGGACACCATTATTGCCGAAGTGAACTTTCAGTTGATCTTTTCTGAAATCTGATAAAATAGAACTGAAAAAAATTTCACTGGATCGATGTCGCATTGCATAACAAATAAAACAGAACGTTTAATCTAATTAATTCATATAAACATCATTTCCAATATCAATATTAAAGCATATATATATATATTCACCTTTCTTGCTTCATACATTCTCTTAATATATATATGTGTAGGATTAGGGACGAAGTCAAGTATGATTGCCGACGAAATCAATTGATAGAAAAAATACATGCATAATATACCACAAGATGAAAAATATTTGACTAAGAAAAACAAAGATGTTATATTTTTCTAGGAAGAAGGGGGTAAATGAACTAAGTTTGAATGAATAAGACCGGGCTCGTGTTCATTTGTTTATTTTTAAATGTGTTTATATTCAATTCATGTTCGTTTAAATTTTTAATATCATTTTCATGTTCATTTATTTATTTTTATAGGTGTTTGTGTTTGTTTGCTTAGTGTTTACGAACAAGTTCATTTAGCATTCGTGATATATTTAGAAATTAAACAGAGTCAACTAAATAAATCTTATACAACATCTACAACAACAACAAAATACAATCTTTAAACTCCAAATTTCACCACGTGCTCATCCCTACATTCACCAATATTTAAACTGTAAAAAAATTAAAATTGAACTAGTCATTAAAAGAGCTTATAAACAAGTTTGTTCATGAACATAAACGAATGAGTCAATAAACACGTTTGTTCCTGAACATAAACGAATGAGTGGATAAACGAGCTTATAAGTGAACATAAGCGAACCGAATACACATTTGTTCATGTTTGTTTGTTCATTAAATGAACATAAAAATTGTCCATACTCTTTTATTTATCTTAACAAGCAAACATAAACAAACGTTGTACGAACGGTTCACAAACTGTTCATGTAACGCCCCGATTTCCGGCTTAATGAATTTAAATAGTTTAAGGGGCTGTTTGTTTACTTCAGAATGATTAAGTGCTGAATGATTCAAATCCTGAATGATTCAGAGGCTCTGTATGAATTAGCTCTGAATGTGACATGTTGTTTGATAATGGCTCTGAATCATTCAGAATGTACTTTGATGCTGAATCATTTAGCACTGTTTTGCTGAATCATTTAGCACTGTTTTGTTGAATCAGTCAGCACTGAATCATTCAGAAGTTCAAAACAAACGCGCTGAATGTTAAACGGTTCAACATTCATCTATGAATGATTTCATTCAGAGCCAAACAAATAGTCCTTAAGTGTCCATTAAGAAGTTTGGGGCATGATGAGTTGAATTTGTTTGGGCTTGAGCCCATTTAGACTTAGGCATTTTTAATTTGGTATTAAGGGATGAAGTCAATGAATTTATATACTAAATGCTCATCTTAATTGTCTATTCATAAAGTTGACTTTTGCAAATTTATTTTTCATACGATTTCAACAATGATTAATATATGAATAATGAACGATAAATGGTTATTTAAAAAACACATCATCACTGTTTAAAATCTCGTGTTGATTTCGATAACTATCAGTCATGGAGAATTGAATTGGGTAATTTACCGGAATTATCATCATATTTCAACAGCTAATAATTTAAGTATTAAATGCATAATTCATCCTATTCTTTTTTAGGACGTATTAAGTTGGATTCACAATCCAACTCTAACTAGGGCTGTAAATGAGACGAGACAGATCGCGAGCTACTCGAGATCGACTCGGTCAAAGCTCGATCAACACTCAAATCGAATGAACTCGATCTCGAACTCGACTCGAATTCTTAACAGATAAAACGAGCTACTTAATACTCAACACGAAAAGCTCGCGAGCTACTCGAAAAAAATGTTATATTATAATTTCAGATTTTTTAAAATTATATTATTAAAAATACATTATTGATAATTATAAATTTTTAAAAATAAGTTTTAAAATATAATATAAGATTTTTGTTGGTTCAAAATCGAGTTTGAGTTCGATCTTGAATCGAGTTTAAGCTTGAATCGAGCTCGAGTCTCTAGCTTCAATCGAGCTCCTTAAAAATTTTTGAGTTCATGCCTTTTTGAGTTCGAGTCGAGTTTCAATATTATATTTCGAGTTTGAACTACGCTAGATAATTTTTAACTCGTAAATTTTCGAGTCGAATTAAGTCTAATTTTAAACTTTTCAAATTCGACTCGAACTCGCCCATACTCGAAATGATTTACGGCGCTAACTCCAACTAAGGTCTCGTTCGGCGCTCGCAAGTCCAGCATTTTACACATAAGATTTGACCAAATTAAAAGAATCACTTGAGATTTTAGCAATTATTTATGTGACCTTTTTCGGATTTTACAATTTTACCCTTTCTTCTTCTTTCCTTTTTAATTTAAAAAATAAGGTTGCTGGCTTGCTGCTCCTTCACTTTCATATTAAAAAACATTTTTCATTATTAAATTGGGGTATTGTTGATTGATTAATTCTCCTATAAATCCACTCTTCATTGTCATGTGAGGTAAAACATCCATTTTTATAAATATATTTATTACACATTTTAATGTAATTCTAGGAGAACAATATCTATTTATTATTATGGAGCACTGTTTCATTCGGATATGATAGATTTTAATTTAATTCAACTTGATTATATCAATTTTTATTTTAAAAATTTAGATTCGTGTTGAGTTGAGTTTTTAGGGTATGATTGAGCTAAATTAATTTTAAATTTATGGTGAAAAATTAGATGTAACCTGATCAAACATAATATTATAATTTTTCTTTGTATATTTAGAGATGATTAAATTTTTTTATTTTTTCAATTAATTTTTTTTATTTTATCTCATAGAGATGAATTATATATATATAGATCAAGTGACTCGAGTGAAGATTTTAACATAAAATATGAGATTAGATTTTGAGTAAGACAAAAATTTTCCTAAATTCAAATCGAATTAAATATAAATAAATAAGTTAAAATTTTAGATCAGATTTAAATATACTAAAAATCTGATTCAATTCAACGGTTACCATCCTATTTGTTGCAGAGTTTTTTTTATAAAATTCTTCAAACTTTTATCATTAAAAAATATATAAAGTAAAAATGATATAAATATCATGTAAATAATAAAAAGGCATTATGGTAAATTAAATATGGAAAACCCAAGGTATCGTTTGGTTGGATAGAATCTTTTAGAATTGGAGGGAATTGAAATTCAATTCTACAACTTTCTCATGTTTAGTTCAAGTTTCCAAGGGAATTGGAATCCCTCATGGCTTCAACTCCCTTGTTTGAGGGAATTGAAATTTGACCATACTACCCTCATCAATCTTTTGGTAACTTATTCATATATTGAATAAAAATATTTTTTTATTATTTCAGGTTGGGTCAGATGAAATTTTATTTTGGTCGGGTCGGTTTTTTTAAGTATGATATCCGAGTCGGGTCGAGTTCGGGTTTAGGGTGAAAAATACCCGACTCAAAAATATATATAATTTTACCTTATATATTTATGAATAATTACAATAATACTCCTCTCTCTCTATACATTTTTATAATATATTACTACATGTAAATTGTAAAACAAACTAAAAAAATAAAAAAATAAGAAGGACAATTATGTTATTTTATATTATTAAAATCAAATTTATTTAACATATTTATGAACAAAACAGAATATAAAATTTAATTCTAATGTCTGATAAATTTCAATTCCTTCATAAATTACAATTTTCTTTTAAACATTTTAACGATCCAAACACCTGGATATTTATGAAAGGTCATAATAAAACAATGCTACACATTATTTCTTGCTCACATATTTTTGTCTCTCTCTCTCTCTCCCAGAGTTGTCTTCTTCTCTCTCTTACCATTTTTTTCACAACTCATTTCCTGCTTCTTGCTTAGAAATGCAGGTGAGCTAAATTTCATGTTCTCCTTCATGTCTTCTGTGTTTAACGATTCTAAAAACTGAATCTTTTTTTATTGCTCTGAGTTAAAAATGTTGTCTTTGTTGTGTTTCTCAGACAAGAACTGTACAAGTGAAGAACCTGTCAGATCTAGCAACTGAGAGGGAGATTCATGAGTTCTTTTCATTTTCTGGTGATATAGAGCACATTGAGATTATAAGGTATGCTCTTTTCTTTTTCTTTTTTCTGGTGGTTCTATTAAAGAGTTGGTGAGTATTATAGTGTTTGGTTGCTGAGAAAATGTGAGAAAATGACAGAAAGCTGTACTTTGGATCTTGAGTCAGCTTTTTTTGGGCCAACGTTTATGTTCTTTAAAATCTGAACTTAAAATAAAAAGAAAAAAAAACTTGTGTTGAATTTTGACTCTCTTATGGAAACTAATCTGGAAGATAAGGCTGCTTTGCTGTTTTTTGTGTTGTTGATATCTTTTTTTCATGCTTGAGGATAAGTTCAGGGAAAGAAATTTGAATATAAAATCTGGATTTTGTTTTGTTGGTGCTTTTAAAAACTTAATGAACAATTTAACATGAAAAGTAGTGATTTTGCTGGTTAACTTGGATTGCTCTTTTGTTTTACGGTTACTGCAGTGAAACAGGCCAATCAAAGACTGCATATGTTACATTCAAAGATCCAAAAGCTCTTGAAATCGCGTTGTTATTATCGGTGTGTTCTTAATCTGGTTTAGCTCTTCTTGATGCATGGATTTACTTTTCTTCTTGACTTGTAATCCTCAAATATTGTTAATGTTTTTCCTTTAACTTAGTTGTTTCGACTGAGCCTTGCGAATTGATATCGAATGTTAGTTGCTTGTTCTTGTTCAAGTGAATAAGTTATTGGAGCTAAATGAATTGAAATAATAACTTGTAAAGTAATTCTTTTGTCGTAAAGCAATGCCAAGTTGGAGAAGCTGCCTAATTTGGTAACTTTGAAGTTATGTTATCCACTTATCCTCACATGGTGATCAATGTTTTAAGAAATAGTTTCGTATTTTCGTGGTTGGAATCGAACTAGAATTCTTTGGTCAGAAATGGGGAAAGTAATTCACTTAATTTATAATTGTGGAATATCCAGAAGTAATTGAAGAACAAGAGGTTTCAATGGTTTAGATGTTTCGCCGAAATTTCACGAGGCCACCTGGATTAGTAGGGGAGAGAGGGGTCAGTCCGTGGAAACCGACGTTTAGTGGTGGTGGCTGGTAGTTTTAATAGCCAGTTCTTGTTGCTGGAATCGAGCATACCGTTAGTATCATATCCAATTAGTTCACCTTGTGGATTTGTGAATGCTCCTACTGTGGGACAAGTACCCCATAGCTCCCTCTTTTTAATCGGATACCTCAGCCTGTATGATGATTGATGGGGCAAATTAAAGTCCTTTCCTACTTGTTTCCAACTTTCCAAACGTACTCTTTGATTCCATCGGCTATATGATTCTTGATGTGCTCTTATTCGGATTTTCTGCACTAGTGTTCTCTTTATTAGTTAAGAAAAAGATTAATATCTAATTCAAAGAAATTCAACTAATGACATGTTTTAATCTTGTTCTGCAGGGGCAACACTTGTTGACAAGATTGTGACCATAATTTGTGCTGAAAATTACGTTCCGAAACTTGAGATTCATGTAAGCTGACTGAGAGGTTTTGCTTTTGATTGTTAATTGCATTTAGCGAAATTCTTATCTTTATTATTGCAACCTGCGCAGGAATCAAGAGCAGCAGACAACATCATGTCCGTTGCTTTGGCTGGGCATAGTGCATCAAACGATGAGGTACTGATATTAAATTTGTTTTGCATATAAACATGTCCTAGCTGCACAGGCTGCCTCAGTACGGGATAAGGGACGGGGAAAAATAAGTTGACTTGTCTTGTTTCAAATCTTCTTGACATATGGCTGGTCTCGTTTAATATTATATTATGACTACTTGTTGAACTAAACCGGGTAGATTTTGATTGTTCAAGTTATCGCAAAAGCAACCGGACTAAAGAAATAGCAGTCCAGAACTTTCATGCACTTGATGACCCTCTAAAGTAACTGCAAAAATACGAATGAGGATAATAGAAGTGAAAGCATAGTTTAGAGTCCTTAAATGGGACTTGCTGATTCTGTGGTTAATGCTTGATATACTGAATTATTGCCTTTATGCCTTGATATACTGAGTCTGAACAAGTTCCTTAATGAGATTTCATCATTTGGATCTAAATTAATAGTCTAGTTTATGATTCGAGTTATTGGTGTATTTCAGCAGGGCAGAACAAGTTCACCACGCAGTGGAAGAATGTATGTTAGTAGGGCGCAAGACGTTGTTGCTAGTGTGTTGGCCAAAGGTTCAGCCATACGACAAGATGCAGTTAACAAAGCGAAAGCATTCGATGAGAAACATCAGTTGAGAGCCAATGCATCTGCCAAGGTCATTTCATTTGACCGGAGAGTCGGACTGACTATGGGAATCTCGGTGGTTAATGAGAAAGTAAAATCTGTGGACCAAAGGTTGCAGGTGTCGGATAAAACGATGGCTGCAATATTTGTAGCGGAGAGAAAAATAAATGACACGGGATCAGCCGTCAAATCTAGCAGGTACCATTTCTCCTTCTCAACACGCTGTAAGGTCAAACTTCGTCCCTTGTTCAAAGAAGATAATAATAGGGGAAAAGAAGGTACCGTCCTTGTGTTATTATCGCATTGAGATACTTTGTTTTGTTCTGGACAGGTATGTAACTGCCGGAACAGCTTGGCTAAACGGTGCTTTCAGCAAAGTTGCAAAGGCCGGGCAGGTTGCCGGTACAAAAACCAAAGAAAAGTTCAACCTAGCCATGTCAAACTTGACTGCCAAGGTATGTCATTCTGCTATCACACCAATGGTCACCTCCATGCTAACCGTGCCATTAATTTTGTTCCGAGTGCAGGATGGAATTGCCGTGTAAGTTGGGAAAGTTCTCGTTTTAAGTCGCTTTACTAATCGTCATCGACACTGGCATCAGATGACCTTGTTACAACAATTCGTCAGGACCGAGATGCTTGTGGTAGAGTGCATCAGATGGCCTAAGCTGTGAACTTAAGCAAATGCATCGTTTTAAGTGTTTCATTTGTTGTGTTTTTTTCAATATATTCTTTGATTACTAGGGTGTACTGTGTTGTAATTTCCTAGTTTTTTTTTACATTTCTTTTCAACTTAGAAAAAAGAAAAACCGAAATTCATGTTAGCATTGTGCACGTTGACTCTTAATTTTTTTTTCTTCCAATTTTCACCCTTCTTAACGAAACATGAACTTGCACTCAACCCGCCAAAAATTATCCCAATGAATTTGACTTGTACAATAAATTGGCCATTATTGAATTATGCCATAACTTACTATCAAGCAAGTTATTAACTGTTAAAAATTTACAGTCAATTAAGTTTTGAAATTTAATTATAATATTTTTGAGGTAAAGGCATATTCATTACCAAGATTAGCTTCGTCTAGTACAATTGGATATGACCAAGAAGGGCAAGCAGAATCAAAATAAAATGGAGTCCCAAAGGTGGTCGACTTGAGACGCCAAAGTATGAGCAGCTAAGTTCGCTGATCGGTGGATGGCCGGAACAAAGATGTATGGAATGGGGCCTTAAGGAGATAGAAAGTCGCTACCGAAAGATCCTCTCGTGCAGAAACGAGTTGGGTGACTACGTTGAAAGCGTCACTCTTTATTAGCATTTGTGAGTCTGACAATTCAGACGCCAAACGAATACCGGTTATATAGGGCCCGGACATCCACCGGAACTGGATCGCATAGGCAGGAACAACCGAGCCATCATCATCACGCACGAGTACACCCGCACCAGCAGTATCAGAACCATATTGGAAGGAGGCATCCACGTTGATTTTCAGTGCACCCCGAGGAGGCTTACACCAACGTGAGGAACTACTTGTAGAGCCCTGTGACTGAGCCGTTGCAGTGTAGGCAGATTGCAAGGCACGACTGGATGTGATAAGTTGTCTGCTCGGAGTTCGACGCCCTTCATGTAATGCCATTTCGGACATTTCGATATGCGAGAGTATTTCAGATATTTTAGCATTTTGGTATTTTTAGATATAACACTATTTTTTCTATTTTTATACATTTAGGATTTCTCAATCTCATTCATAAGCACTAATGCTATTCTACTCAATTCTCCTATTTTAAACCTTCAAATTCCATTTATTAGACTTTAGGGGTATTTTGACAATTTATACTACTTAAAGACATTTTCTTCATTTCTTAAACTAGGACCATTTCATAATGATTCGTAGATATCAGGTGCCATGAGAGATATTTTGAATCTTCCAACATTAGAGAGTATGATACTCAATAGAAAGTATGAATACTCATACGAAGAGTTTGGATACTCAAATAGAGAGTATATATACTTGAGTACGATACTCACTTAATGATATTGATACCAATCAAAGAGTATTGATACCAATCAAAGAGTATTGATACCAAATTGATGGCGTCAAAACCAAAATGATACATTAGAATGCCTGGAATCATTCGGTATCGATACTACCTAAGAGAATATCGATGTATGAACAATATTGATACTGCATTAATTATTACTGATAATAACCCTTTAAAATTTAGATTTTCAAGGATAAATTCATACATAATTGATATTATATGAATAATATCAATACTATAACCTAGAAAACTTAAAATTAAGTTCGAAAATCACTTCAAAATACCTCTAAACACTTATTTTGAAACACTACATGATTCCAAAGTCTTAAGCGATTATTAAAATATCATCTTGCATTGTTTTAATATTTTCCAACTTCAAATCGTCATCAGCATCATTAAAATATGTTTAACATTCAAAACCTAAGAAAAGATGAGGGACAAAGATGAACATTTTGACAAACCAATCAAATGTGTTGGCTCAGTTTTATGTGTATATTTTTTCTATTAATATAGGGTACTTACATGTGGTAGTATTTGTTCTAAAAACTCTTAATTATTTGACAATGAACGCTCAAATACTCTACGATCTCTAATACTGAAATCTAATACCTTAAGAATAACAAATATTTCTTTAACCTATGAGTTAGCTATGTTTGAATTGAAATTAAAGTTTTATGTATAATTGTAGCATTAAAACTTTATGTATCAGATTACACATTAAATCAAAATCCATATGTAAATATAAAGCTCATCCACAATTAATGAGAATCTCTCTAATTGGTTTGTGACAAATAACCTAATAAATAAAAAAATCTCCCTACTTAATAATTAACCATATACATCCGTTTGATTATAGATATCATATTAACTCACCTGACATGACAAATATGTTTCCATTGCCAGATAAGATATACCTTAAATGCTCCTTCAATAGTGTGGATATGCAACTAAGCCGAATTAGGGTCCACAAAACAAATCAGAGAGGCAATGAGATTTGTTACCAATTGTGCATGTACCTTATTTAAACCCCCCCTTTTCCCCACTTTAGATCTCACAAACACCTAAACAAGAACCATTCAAGTTGTCATAGCTGAAAATGGTGACGCCTCCTGCAACTCCTGCTGTCGAAAGTGGGGAAAACAATGATCAACATGGGCAGGCTCTCGCTTTCGATGGATCGATCCTCGGATCTGAATCGAACATACCCTCCGAGTTCTTGTGGCCCGACGATGAGAAACCGAGCCTCGATGCCCCGGAGCTTGTGATTCCAACTATCGACATGGGAGTTCTGTTGAACGGGGCTGACCCTCTTGCTTTATCAAAGGCGGCAGAGGCAATGAGCGAGGCATGCAAGAAGCATGGATTCTTTATGGTCGTGAACCATGGGGTGGATTCTGAGCTTATGGACAAAGCTCAAGAGTACATGGACTTGTTCTTTGGCCTGCAACTCTCTGAGAAGCAAAAGGCTCAGAGAAAACTAGGAGAAAGCTATGGTTATGCTAGTAGTTTCGTTGGGAGATTCTTCTCCAAGTTGCCATGGAAGGAGACGCTGTCGCTTCGATATTGCCCTGACACTCCAAAAATCATCGAACACTATATGGTGGACCGGATGGGCGAAGATTTCAGAGATTTCGGGTATGTAAATCAAATATAGCTGCATGAACAACCATAGTACTAAATTGGTCGGTGTTACGGTTGCAGATGTTGCAGCCATTACAATGTGATTTAAATAACTGTGTTTTTATGTTGTGGGTACTGTTGCGGTGGCGCAGTGACATTGAAAAACGTTACTACTATGTGAACAACTCAACCGAAGTCTAATAGATTTTGGTTTTTCATGTTTGACAGGAGGTTTTACCAGGAATATAGCGAAGCCATGAATAAGCTTGCACTGGAATTAATGGAGCTGATAGGGATAAGTCTAGGAGTGGATCAAGCTTACTACAAAGACTTCTTTGCAGAAAATGATTCAATCTTGAGACTGAACAACTATCCGCCATGCCAGAAGCCTGAGTTGACTCTGGGAACCGGTCCTCACTCGGATCCAACTTCCTTGACGATCCTTCTTCAGGATCAAGTGGGTGGCCTTCAAGTGTTTGCTGATGAAATATGGCACTCCATTCCTCCTGTCCCTGGAGCTCTCGTTATCAACATCGGCGACACATTCATGGTAAACAATAAACATTCAACCCCCTGTATGAATATTGTTGACTGGTAAGATAGACAACGTAGAGGATGGTCGGATGATAATTCTAACGGTGGTTTGTAGTTCTGATAGTGTGGGTCTAATCTTTTAGTAAAGAATAATGTGTGCTGATGATCTCTCACCGAGTTCTGCATGTCTCAAGGATCACAAGAGTCGTTTGTTAGCATATTGGAATTTCGCATAGGTTGCGGGCTCACCACCATCAATAATTCAATATCCTATGCGAACCTCTGATATACGAACATACAACTCTTGCGAATCTTGAGACATACGGAGGGTTTTCCACGAACGAACACTCTTCTTTACCAAAGAACCTGACCCACTCTATCAGAACTACAAGAACCGCCACTAGAATTATCATCCGACCACCCTCTACAGTTGTCCACTTTACCTTATCAGCCAACACATACATGTATGTATGCAAGTATGGATGCATGTATGAGCTTGGTTTTTAAGGAAAATGGGATTGTGATGTTTGAATGAGTGCATGCAGGCACTGTCGAACGGGATTTACAAGAGCTGCTTGCACAGGGCAGTGGTGAACAATCGAACCGTGAGGAAATCTCTTGCTTTCTTTCTGTGTCCGAAGATGGAGAAACCGGTGACGCCGGCGGCTGTGTTGGTGAACGCTGAAAATCCGAGGAGATACCCTGATTTTACTTGGGCTGGCTTGCTGGAATTTACTCAGAAACAATACCGTTCTGACATGCATACGCTTGATGCATTCTCCAAATTGGTTCAAGAACAAGGATCCAAGGATGAGATTAAAGTTTAGGAATAGTCTTGTGGGGGACTTAAAGTGAAAATAAGAGAGAGAGATAAGTAAAGACTTAAGTATTATGAAATTGCTGCTTCAGTTTTATGGCTTTGAGTTGGTTTCAAAGTCAGTCCGCATGTTGTAAAACCTCTCTCATTCCTCCTCAATGCTAATAGAATTTCTCATATTTATTTTTAATTATAATTAATTTTAAAAAATAATATACATGACTCTTTAATGAAAATATTAAAAATAATTAGTATAATATTTTTTTTTAAAAATAATATCATATTATGGAATATGACTACAGAAGAGAGAGAGAGAGACAGTAAGCTTATAATTTGTCCCAAACTTTAATTTTTCAAAATTTAGCCCTCATATTTTATAAACCATGAAATTAATCCCATTTTTAATTAGTTAAACAAGTGAATTTTACCTGCAAATTTGCTGCATATAAGTCGTTGAAATTTTTCATCGCTTACAATTTGTCTGTATAAAAATTGCAGAACTGCTACATTTCAACTTCTTAGTTTTTATAAAATACGATAATCATATTTTAGTTCTTCTATTGTAGAGATTACTTTAAGGTCGCCTTGGTACTATTAATTGGATCAATTTAGTCCATGTATTAGGCAAAAAGAATTAAATATTTTTTTGTTTAATTACCTGTATCTAACTTACTGGTTGATTAATTTGAATCATATATTGCAGAGCTATATTATGAGGCAACCCTTGCAACTCGATTTTCTCAATTCACAATGTCAAGATTTATAACATTTTGATTATTTATGTTATTGATTTATATTATTTTGGTCACTGAGATTTTAAATATCGTTAGTTTAATGACATGGCACTAAGACTAAAAGTGATATAAGACAAATCACGAGCTACTCGAGATTTACTCGATCAAAGTTCGGTCAACTCTCAAATCAAATGAACTCGACTTGAATTCTTAGCAAGCCAAAACGAGCTACTTATACCTGACTCGAAAAGCTTGTGAGCAATGTGAATTTTTAGATTTTTTAACATTAAATTATTAATAATATTAATATTTATATGTTGAGTCGAACTTAGTTTTACACTTTTCGAGAGGAGTCGAGCTCAGCAATATTTGAGCTCGACTCGGCTCAACAATACTTGAGCTCAACTCGGCTCGTTTACAACCCCACACGACACGTTATTGAAATGAGTTAATTTTTAACTTGACCCTCCAATCTTTAGGTAAAATATCAATTTAACTCCTGACCAAAATCTCGCATCGTCAGTCTTCTCTTACCACCATCGCTAATCACTTTTGGTTGCCATAGGCTACCGTCGTTGATAATCATTAGATCTGAAACTTTTCAATTATTCATTTTAACCTCCTAAACATGAATATGATCATTACATCGAGAAATATCTCAAACTCCATAAATGCAATATTCGTTCCCTTTTTAGACCTGATGAAACTATAATCTAAGAATCTGAATGACAAACTAGGAGGCAAATTTATGTTCAAAAGGCACTGCAAGCTATAACTTCATTAATTGTATGGTGAAGCTTCTTCACCTTGTTGCCAAAGTCAACTGGAAAAACTTTCACCACCAATAATTCTCATACTTGAAACTGCAGAGTTGAATGTTAAAATGAAAGGATGATTAACTGATTAGATGAATTGAATTCTCAAGAGTATGACTTGTAATAACTAGTAATTGTAGAAAATATTAAACCCATTAAAAAAATCAAATCAAATTATCAACTATTCTTCATCCACCGTTAAATATTGAACGATGATGTTGATATAGTTTTTAATTTAATTATTTTCCACGTTATTTTGTTTCATAATCAAAAGTAGCAATGGATTCATCGGTGGATAGAGCTAGAATGTGTTGCAATGGATCGAGATCAACAGTCCGTTGTAGTCTAGTTTGTTAGGATGCTCGGCTCTCACCCGAGAGATCCGGCTTCGAGTCCCGGAAACGGAATTGTTTTTGAAACTTTCTTTTTGTTATGGAGCAATGAGTTTTTCTTATAATTTTGGCACATAAGAAGATGCCAAAGTTTCTACTTTGCTACTGTATTTGTATGAAGGTAAAGTTCATTGGAGAGAAGATGAATTTGTCGATATTTTCAGTTAAAAAACTGCATTCTTTGGCACAATTAAGACCAAAAAAAGATGCAGCAGACATGAAAACCAAACACCCGAAGAATAGTGAACCCTACAGCTCTCACCTGAGACGATCTATAAAACAAAAAACAAACATTCCGTTGCCGGTACTTAAACCCGGGTCTCTCGGTGAGAGCCGAGTATCCGAATTCCCAACCAACTAGACTGCAAAAGATTGCTGGCTTTTATACTATTCAAAATATGAAATCTGCACCTGCATTCCGAAGATTGAAGGGCGTTTTCTCTAGGGTTGTGTTTGTTCATCCCTTGTGCTTCTCGCCATGCATTTTGTGTTGGAACGTTGAAATCATTTGTTCATCTTGATTTGGATTCCCCTACAAAGAAAGCTGAAGGTGCAGATTCACAGCAATGGAACCCGCTTCTCTTTCTTTGTCCTGTACTTCTGAATGCTCTTTCTTCACACTTGAGAGACTCCAGCATACTTGTCAACGACTTTTCTTCTTTTGCAGTGATTCTTTAGCTTCATATAGCTCCAAAGTAACACTTCATCTAGCTCCGGAAATGAAAACAGGAGGTTCACTATTGAGTCGGCGTACAAAGCCAATGACTTTGATTCTCTGGTCAAGAAGAGGAAACCTGGAGGGTACGTACTAACTAAACATCAGAGTTTACCAAGGATTAAAATGTTTCTCTGGTTGGTTTGCAAAGGCAGATTTCTTACAAATGAAGAACAGGCTCGCACCTCGCAGGCATATGACCTCCGATGGAAGTTGCAACGTGTGAGGCACCGGTGGAGACCTAAATCACGTTTTTCAAAGCTGCCAGATCTCAAGCACCATTTGGCGTCGGCTAGTCAGAGTGTCAGACCAAGCAAATTAAATGAGTTCCTAAAGAGCAACATACGATTAGGATCAAGGATATCCTGCAAAACAATTTCCAGCTGGAAAACGAAGCAAGAGACTGACCTGTTTTTTTTTTTTGGAGTTATACGATGGTCCCTTTGGGGGAGAAGGAATAGAAGCATATTGGGACCAGACATAGTCGAAACCGAATCCGCAATCGAGAAAGCAACCCGGTTGACTCGAGAAATATCTGGTGGGAGAAACAGGCATATTGGTAAGCTAAATCTAATGTTTCTTAAATATATTCGTTCTTTGGTTTTATCTATCTATCTATTTTTGTAGCTTCTTTTGTTTGTTTGCCTGTTGCCGTTTATTTCGTTTCGATCTAAGTTTTTTTTAATTAGGGTAGCTGCATTGCATTTTGTAAATTTGATTTGGATTGTGATTAGAAAAGAAAAAGAAAATATAATGTTTGGTGGATTCGAATTTTTCTTTCCCTTTTCGTTTTAATGTGGCCTTTTTTTCGACTTCAAATTCTGTTGTTTTCCCTCCGAATCACTAGATTTAGATAATTTTTACTATTTATGGTAATATTTCAATTGTCAATTAGGAAGTCAATTTAAATCCGATTTAGGCCGGAATTTTTGGAGATTGCTTATTTTATTTCTAATTTCAATGTAGAGTGATTTTTGGGATTTTGCTATTTTTGGTAAAATTCGAATAAAGACGATTTTTGACTATAACAGTCCGGCTTGTGGACTGATTTTGGGCATTGTTTGATTTTATATTATTTTATTAAACCCTAGAGATTTTTTTCTCTGGTTTTTTGGACGAATTTTCTTGGCGTCAATATTTAAATTTTGTGCGAATAGGAAATTGCTTTTAGTTATATTAAGACATTTTCAGATGGATATCTTTGTGAATTCTTAGTTTCTTTAGAATAACCAGATGAACTTGTCTGCCTTTGACTCTTGAATTACATTTTTCTAATTTTTATCATGGTCTGCTATAATGCAGGATTCATGTGAGTTACCTCGAGGTGTAATCCGAGGTAGAGATAACGAGTTAGGAGGAGCTCCGCTGAATTCTGGAGAAGTGTGCCTTCAAGAGTTCTTTGTAAAGGTGCTGTAGACTTAATGATGTAATATTGTGCTTTGTAAGTTTAGCAGAAGTATATTTGATTCGTAATTGCAGTTGCGACTTTCTGTTTTGTGTTTCATCTCTCAATATCCATCCTGATTTTAGTTAATCCCTGAGATTTTAAAGTTTGTTCACCTTTGTGAAATCACTACCATCCTACTCTCTCTAGCCATAAAATCTATTGTGAATAAATCTATTTAGGATGTCAAATTCCACTGTATTTTTTTCTAAGTTTGTCCTCGTATTGTTTCATGAATCCATGACCAAGAAAATTGTACATGGATTGATACTTAACAGTTGAAACTTGCCTAACATGATTGCTGGATGATTTGTTAGTGATAAGCAACAGCATTGACTATTGATTATGATGTTTGGATGTCATTTGCTTTCAAATATTTTATGCAGGAGGCACATGAGGAGTCAAGACAAATAACCAAGGGTCCTGCCATGAAAGGTTAGCAATGTTCCTGTATGTTTCTCTTACACTCATAGTTTCAGTAAAAGCTGCTGGGAAAACAAATAATGAGGTCTGTGCTTATATATTTTTGTTTATCACTTTGCTATTGAGAATATATAGAATAAAAGCCGATTTTTAAATGACCAAATCTTGGTTATACTGTCTTGAACTTAGATCTCATGATGGATGCTATTATCATCTGAAGCTATCAAAGAGCGAATGGAGAAAGACGTTGCTGAAGTTGGAAGAATTGCTCATTTTGTAAAGGGGAAATTTGATGAACTGGACAGAGACGTAGGCTAATTACTGTTTCTTTTCTTCTTTTTTTCTTTTCATAGATCCTCGTTTTATTTCTTGAAGTTGGACAGAATTTAGCAAATAGGCAGAAGCCTAGATGTCGAAAAGGAACAAGTGTCGATCGGTCAAGAGCCGCAACAACTCTGTACTATACCATCCCTTTTTGTTGCTTTGTAGTCCCTTTTAATACATGATGAAAACTTTTTTGAGTACTTGTAAAGTGGATCTAAAATATGGTTAGCAGAAGTTAGTTTATTTTACTTTTGCTGCCCTGATTAGTTTGATGAAATCTGACACAGTTTTAAGGATCCATGGCTACTTTCTTTTTGGTGATTCTTCAAAAGAAATAATTGGTTCTATATTTCTTCTTTCAATGTGAATGATTTTAAAATTCTATGGCCACTTTTGTTTCCACCTCCATTGAAATCCCTTTTCAAGCTTTTGGACTTGCTGGAAAGTATCATATCTTGTAACTATTCCATGTAACAGCCATATTTTTGCTGCAGTGCCGTGAAAAAGAAGTTGAAAGGGAAACTAGATGAGTTTCAGGTTGGTCAGATTTAGATATTTTAAGATGTATTTTACTCTCATTTTCTTAATCTTACTAGGGTCTATGTACCTGCTATTGCAGATTCTTAGGGAGAGAATCCAGAAAGAGTATCGGAAGGTTGTTGACGACGTATTTTCACAGGTTAAGATGTTCATCTGATACTATTAGTTGCCATAATAGTGCATGATAGCTAATATTAATCTGCACCGGTTATTATGATTCCCAGTGACGGGCACAAGACCAGGACTAAACAACAATCCCCCCCCCCTTGCAATTATGAGTTTTTTTAAGGAGTCGGTGCAAATTATGAGTCAAGTGGAGCAATTGGCTTTTGAAGCTTACCTTTTGTCTTTGTGTTCTTCTCTAGATTCTTTAAGGTTATCTCTAAGCCCTCCACGTGGCAACCTTTGAGGCTCCCTTCTTAATTGTTTATCTCAATTTGACTCGGTAGCAAGACAAGGACTAAACAACAATCCCCCCCCCACTTGCCCTAAGTTTGAGGTTGTCTGATGAAAACTATTCTTGTGTTCAACATTATATTCTTGCCATTAAAAAGGTTGAATTTGTCTTCTAATGAACATTTTAGAACTCTAATAGAAAAACGAACGTTGTTTATCTAGATGATTTAGGTTTAAATAATTACATTTTCAGTGTGCGTATGTTGTTAATAGGTTAAGAAAAATTGTTATTTCACTCTCGTTTCTAGAAGTGGTTCATGTGCTTACAAATATATGAAATATCCTGATGAATTTGTTAATTTTAATTTAATGGATTATTTCTAAAAAAATCTGAGTAAATAAAAACAAACTTGAAGCTTGATTTGGTGGATTCATTTTAATAAATTTTGATGTTTAATTTCATTGGTTTGAGTAATTATTATTATTTTAAATATGTAAACTAAACTTACAAAATTTGGTTGAACCCATCACGGGCTAGAATTTTTTGCCAACTCTCTCAATTTGTCCAGTTTCTTCTCGGTTTAATATTGGGATAAACTAAACGTTTAATATCATAACTTTCACTTTTGTTCCGTTTTAGTCATTCAATTATTTTTAAAAAAAATTATATCTAATGATACGTTTTGGTTTCATTTTGGTCACCATAATTAAAAAATTAAAAGAACTTTTAAAAAAAAATTAATGATGATATGATATTATCTTATGGTATCACATCAGTACCACCGATATTTTTTGTGTGGTAGGTGACCAAGATGAATCCAAAACATAACGTTAAGTATGATTTTGAAATAAAAAATAGTTGGATGACTAAATAGAATAAAAGTGGTAGTTGAGATACTAAACATGTAGTTTACCCCTAATATTGCTTTTAAAAATAATACAAGTTGGGAAGGGGCAGATAAGACATTGTAGTGAAAGTCAAAAGCAAGCACAAGTACCTGAAATTAGATAAACACGGAGAATGTTGAAATGGTTAGCTAAATTTCTGATATGTATAAATCCCCTTTGTCCATTGAAGATCAACCAAGTTGATCCATACACCTTCTTCTTCTTCTTCATTCATATCTTTCAAAATCAAATACATTTTCTGTTGGCAATGGAGATCCAGTTCCAGCAACAAAAGCATGAGAAATCAAGTATCACTGTTAGCAAAGGGAGCAAATTCAAGGGAAGAAACAAAAGCAGCCTTAAGGTTAACAAGTTTGTTGGTGTAAGACAAAGGCCTTCTGGTAAATGGGTAGCTGAGATCAAAGACACAACCAAGAAGATCAGGATGTGGCTTGGCACCTTTGACACTGCCGAAGAAGCTGCTAGAGCTTACGACGAAGCCGCTTGCCTTCTCCGCGGTTCCGATACTCGTACCAACTTCGTCACTCATGTGTCCTTCCATTCTCCTCTCGCGTCTCGGATTCGGAATCTACTTGACAGCAAGAAGGGAGGTCAGGAACAACAAAGTGTTCTAGTCTCACCCCCCACAACAGCAAGCCCCAGCCCCAGCATTAGTAGTTTTAATAGTGGTGGAGGCTTAAGCAATGAGAATTCTTCTACTATTGAAATCGTTCGAGATATGCAGTTGTTCGACGATGCGTATAAACCCGACATGAGCAACTGCACAAGGGAATTTGAGTCCACATCTTCCGAATCGGACTTTTCTTATACATGTGAAACAGGGTTCGATAGGTTTCTTTACACACAAGAAATCATGAATTTACCTAAGAATGTTGTTTTGCCCGAGGAAACTGGCTCCAATTTGACGGAGTTCGAGAGGATGAAAGTCGAAAGACAAATCTCGGCTTCACTTTACGCTATGAATGGACTGCAAGAGTGTATCGAAACCGTCCATGATTCAGCCGAAGCATTGTGGGATCTTCCACCGTTGTGCTCTTTGTTTTCCTAAGTTCTAAAACATGATCTCCATTTGGTATTTGCTTCCGTTTCTCATTGTAATATCAAGAGAGTAGATGAATTAGGGTCAATTGCATGTTATTGCAGGTCACAGGGACAAAAATAACAGGCAGAGAGTAGAAGTGATCTCCATTTCGTAAAATGTCAACTGTTCGGTCTCATTCATCTCTGAATACAAAATGTCTAAAGGAATCATGCTGATTTAATTATGACGAATCTTGGTCCTTGTAGAAGTTTAAGATCTTGAGTTCAAGTCATGCGGAATAGGAGGAATATTAAAAGGGTGGTTGATTGATAGTTTTCTCTATTTTATATGTATATGTATATGTAGATGATATATCATACAGTCATGCTATGCCCCACTTGATGGGGTTTGGGTACTTTGAAACAGTTTCAAGTCATTGCAAAATGGTTCTCTAAATCAATCCATTAGCATTCAGCTGGTAATAGTTTTTAGTCCATTAATGCATCCAATAGCATTCAACTATGATAGTGTGATGATCAGTTTGTGCAAGGTCCGGGAATGATTTTACTGTCGCATGGCTGACGGTCTATATTGCTAGCAATTCTAGCTTCATGGAGGCAAGTGATGGCCTGCAATCCAAAATGACGACAGGGTTTTGGAGTTAGCTCACACCTGATGGGATTACGAGAGTGCGAATCGAGAATTTGCCGATAGTTGGGTGACTAATGGTAACCTGTTTTTATGTTTGCTAAACTGCTGCAACTTGAATTATCTAATTGTTGGCACGACCTACAAAATGAACCTTAAGTTTTTAATGAAAATCTCTTATTTCGTTGTTATTCGAGTCCGGGGTGAGAACTATGTCTGCATATTTGTTGGAAACAAGTGATTTAAGAAAAACGGAATGGTATCGGAGACTGATTCAATCGAACACAAAGTCATGTCACATGGTAGAAGCTTTATTAGACGTTGAGAGGTAACATTTCAATGTGCAGAACCATTCAAATGAAGTACAGGGACTTGTTTACAATAATAGAAAATATAGCTTATGGGCTAAAATGAGATTGATGCACATGGTACACCAGGGATGTTGATTTGATGAAATATGAATCTAGTAATCTTCTGGATCTTCTTGGTCTTCACCGCCTTTCGCCCCGACTTCCTCGTAGTCTTTCTCGAGAGCGGCGAGATCTTCACGGGCTCTGGAGAATTCACCTTCCTCCATTCTTTCACCTGCATACCAGTGAACATATGCTCTCTTGGCATACATGAGATCAAACTTGTGGTCGATTCGGGAGAAAACCTCGGCTACTGCTGTGTTATTGCAGATCATACACAATGCATGTTGTACCCGAGCAAGATCACCTCCTGATACCACTGTGGGTTGCTGATAGTTGATACCGCACTTGAAATCCGTAAGACACCTGAAAAGGAGATAGCGGCCTTGACATCCTTCGGTACAACATCTCCGTGGTACATCAAACATCATGCCATGTACTTCCCATGCCTTGGATCACATTTAGTCATCGTGCTTGAGGGTTCGAAAACAGAATTCGTAATCTCAGGAACCAATAGCTGCTCATGGTAAGCCTTTGCAGCTGAGATTACAGGTGCATATGATGAGAGGATACGGCACAAGGTTAGTCTGAAACTCTTCAATGTCCACATTTATGGAACCATCAAACCTCAATGAAATGGTTAAAGAACGCATGATATGGGATATCAGGCGGTTCAAGTTTGTGTAAGTCGGCCCTTCGATATCTAAGGATCTCCTGCAGATATCATATATAGCTTCATTGTCAAGAAACACTGCAACATCTTTGTGTTCAAGGAGAGCACGCTATTGTAAGGTTCCACAGCAGCATTGAAACCTGCATGATTCGGAATAATTGTTCGATTAATGGGTCAGATGATGGTTCGACCATAGGGAAAAAGCAAGCAACTAGGCTATCTCATACATTTCCATGAAGTCTTCAGGGAGGAGAAGGGTAAATGGTGAAACCGAGTTTCGACTTCTTCCAGTACAATTATCAGCCAATTTTCGTATCCGGTCGAGGCACAGGTCCACAATCTCCCTACCAACTGCAGCATAATCATCGACGACGAGGAATTTTGAGACACCATATCGAATCAAAATGTTATGTAAGAATTGCTGAACAGATGGTTGTGCCAGTATAATGTCATTCCAGAAATAAGTTGCTCAGGATTAGAGTTGTCTATAAGTCCTAGCTCGAATTTCATATATATATATATATATGAAGTTCGAGCTGGGACTTACAGACAACTCTTCCATCCATATATATCGATCGTAAAAATTTTAACTGTATAATCAAAAAGACGATATTTTAAAGATTTTTCTATTAAAAGTTTAATTTTTTCCAGATAAATTTAAAGAACAACATAAATGAGTTCTTAGACAAATAAAGCATGAAATAAAACATTGAAAATAATGAATGGAAGGATGTTGAGGCAGTGGTGTACTTTTATTGTTGAGGTATTGGACGTTCAATTCTTAATTTTATAATATTTAAATATTTGTTTAAATTAAAATAAAACTTTCAAAAAAAAGGAACAAATAAATAGAAATATTATATATATATATATATTAAATTAAAATAGAAGCAATGGCCTATTAGCTCAGTTGGTTAGAGCGTCGTGCTAATAACGCGAAGGTCGCAGGTTCGAAACCTGCATGGGCCATAATTTTACCCATTTTCCCGAACGGCGTCGTTTGCTTATTCCAAAGGTCCATTTAAGGCGTGTTCACACAGTTGCTGCACGCAATTGAACTTCCATTTTCCTATGTGTTATTTTTTTGGGTAAACTATGCATATAGTATCTAAACTATCAGTTTTGATCCGTTTTAGTACCTAATCTTTCAATTTATTCAAAATCATAACTAACGTTTAGTTTATGTTTCATTTTAGTATCATGCCATTAAAAACTTAACGAATTTAGTACCTAAACTATCAATTTTGGTCCTTTTTAATACCTAATCTTTCAAAAAAAAATTCAAAACTTAACATTAAATTTTGAACAAGATACTCAAATGAAACAAAATCTAAATTTTAGGTATAGTTTTAGAAAAAAAAATTAAAAAATTTAGATACTAAAACAAACCAAAACTGATAGTTTAGGACCAGACATGTAATTTACCCTTGTTTTTTTTAAAGTAACCACATTTGAAATCATTTGCTATTACTATGTATGTTTGGGAAAACCATGTTTAGTGATGAAAGAGTGAAATATTATGTAATCCTAAAAATTACTAGTCCGTTATATATTATAAAAGGAGCAAGACTAAGTTTGTATTCAATTTCTCTTGTTTTTTATTCTTGTGTTATGGCTAGGTGGATTCAATTGTTGGTGTCTGTGGAGGGGTCTATTGAATTACAATCAATTAAACAAATTCTTGGACGTAAAATGTTTGGTAAACAAATTCTGTTTTACAAATTTTTGTAATTAGAATAAAACTTTTTAAAAATTAAAGGGTTAAAAGTATAATTTATCTTTTTTTGGTTTCAACATTATAATAAGATGTGAATAAGACTACATAGTTTATTGGATAATGTAAAGATAAGTAAAATTGCATGAATCAACATACTTCAGTAGTTAAAGTATTTGTTGTTGTTTCTAGAGGTCACAAGTTTAAGCATCAGCGGTTGTAGCAGAGTGATTGAGCGTGCATTATCAAATAGTTGAGAGTATTTAGAACAGATGCTACTTTAAGCCTTAGATTAATAAAAAAAAACTTATAAGCAAAATTCGATTCGACTTGAAAATTAATTTTTATTCGATTTGACTAAAGTTTTGTTAACTTGAATATACTTCAATTTCATAAACTAAATTCGACTTGAAATTTTCAAATTCGAGTCGAGTTATAAAATAGAAATTGAATAACTCGAAGCTTTTAGTATTTGCTAGATCGATTTTCAAGTTTAAGTCGAGTCTCTCGACTATGTATGATATATGTATATCACATATGAAGAAATATCTACGTATAGTATATTGTTATAGAAAATCATTTAAATTGGAATCAAACAGTATCACGATCAGGGATGGACCTAAAGGGGAAAGTGGGGGCAATCATCGACCTTAAACATTTTACATTTATATATATATTTTAGATATTTTATTTGTATATTCTATAGAAAATATGTTTTCATCCCTCCTAAAATTTATAACTTCTTCCTTACTTAAAATTTTACAAGTTTGCTTCCCCTAACATGAAATATTACGTCTGTCCCTTAGCACAATATTATAATTATTTACAAGCAAATATAAACAGAAACTCAAACAACTCGACTTGACCCGTCTCAAAAATTTTCAAATAAGTACGAGTTATAAAATATAACTCGTCATCTCGAATAACTTGATTTTTTTTACTCACTTAACTCAATTCGATTGAACTCTCACCCTTGATATCTAACATGTGTCGTGACACTACTACCAAGAATGAACCAAGAGGGGAAGGTGACGTAGTCCCGTCCTTAAATTTTTTAAGTTCTCTTATATATTTTAGATTTTTTTTCTTAAAATTTTCTAATAATAATTTTTCCTACAATTTTACAAATCCACTCCCTTAACTTGAGTCCCGACTAACTAACCCATCATTAATTGTTAGCCTTTACTAGTTGGATAACCAAAATTTTTCATATTTTTAATATTGGATATAAATAAATAATATTAGTGGTGTGATTAAATTCAAATTTTTTGAATAATAAATTATTATTTATGTGATTTACTCATTATAACACATGATAAGTTTTATAGCTAAAAATAAATATTAGGAAATAGTATCATGTGATCAATAATATAATAAATTATTATTGATAAATAGTTATAAACAATTAATGCGAGAATAAATTATAGGTTGCATTCCATAATTTTATAATATAAAAGTATATTTAATCTTTATGTATTATATATGATATTTAATAGGTTTATCCGTGAAATTGCATGTTTTTTAATGTTAAAAACTCTTATTAAATAAATTATTAATAAAAATATTCAATCAATTGTGCACTTTTATAATCAAATAATAATATAGGGAAAAGGTGACACACATAAAAGATATTATAGAAAAATATTGATAAATGATATATAATATATACATATAAGAATAAGCAATTAATAACACAAGAAAATGGTATATTTATAATAATAATTTTAAAAATATTTATAAATTTTACAAATATCAAATTTATAATATTTAAT